AAGGCTCATAATCATAATGTAATCAAAATATTTATTAATTGCAATAGACATCAATGAACATTATCTTGATAAAACGCTAAAATAAAATTTTTTAATTTTATCATAATTATATTTTTTCACATATTTAAACACTATCAAATATTATCTTTGTAATAGATTATCTCTAAACGTTTGATATAAATAAGAAAAAGCTTTATATCTCGTCGGATTTGTCAGCGAAAAATTGTTCTTATAGGAAATAATAAAAATTATGTCTCGAATTATCGATTGCACGAGTACTCGGTATCTTTTGCTGTCTTTTCGCTGTGTATATTCTGAGGAAGTTTTAAAACATCACGCGTTTAGACAATAAGATGTTACATAAATCATACTGCTTTCGAATCGATTATGAAAGTCGATAAACATTATACCGGATGTGCGACTTATACATATTCACTTGTGATATCTGTTGATTTATGTCTAATTATAAAGATTCATGTTTGATTGTGCGAATTTAGCATACATACTTATAATTTGCAACTATGTCTCTTTCTTTTTTTATCCTATTTGCGGCTAACGAATGGCAGGCGCGAAATAGATAAGATTAGTAAATTGCAATGAGGCGATACAATATCCACTATCGCGCGAGAGAAAAGTAATTATGCGATAACTCTACAATAATTTCATAACTCTCGAATCAAAGCAATTGATTGAAAATTAATTAGATAACACACGTCCACATGATAATAAAAAATATCATTAAAAAAAATATATAAACATTAGATCTATGGTTGTTTTTTCGTAATTTAATTTTATTGTATGACAAAATTTTGCTGTAAACATTAATTAATTCTTAAATTAATGAATGCACACGACATTCTATACATTCAATTCAACATCTAGAGAACGACTTTAAAAATAAGGATATCTTATAAACAACTTAAGATATCTTGGAAGCGCTACATGAATAAATTATAAGTTAAAATTTAAACAGAATTTTAAAGAACTTGTAAAATTTATGAACGGATTGTTTGAAAATCTCAAATACGACGCATTTTATATTATTACATTTGTTACTTTTGTAATTTTTATGAAAATACTTTATCAAATTAATAAAGATATTGTTTCATTATACAACTCATTGATGACATAATAACTTGTAATTGTTTGTATACGGTTTGTATACGATTACTTTTCCAAGCGGAAAAGTTCCGAGCGAAGTAGTTCCTTCTTAATTAGAATATTA